ACTATAATTTCCCACGAATCTCTTCCATAAATTCTAACATTATTACAACGCGGAGCGTTCTCGCGCAAACAAGTCGACTTGCTAGTAATTATTTTCCATCTCAATTGTATCTTTGCAGGAAATAATCCTGAAAAGAGCAGCTGACATTGCCGAAGCATTGTACAGCGTGCCCCGCAATCACAACCAGATTCCCACTCTAGCCAACACTCCTGCTCACACTGGCATGATGGGGGTGAACTCGTTCAGCAGCCAGCTAGCAGTCAATGTCTCGGAAACATCACAAGCCAACGACCAAGGTAGGCGGCGTTTCAAGAGTTAATCCTTCTCCTTGTTGCCCGCTTTGGGACGGGGTCTATTAATATTAGCTGGTGTCACCGCTGGGTTCCACATCCCTTTTTTCCCCGCGTAGTCGTTTGCCTCATCATGTAAGGAAATGTCGTCTTGAACTTTCTGATAACGTGGAATTCTTCTTATTTTTAGTTTACTGTTATCCTAAAACATCTGCAGGGGGGAAAAGAATGGCAAAATGTAGAAAGCTCTGGTTTTCACAGTAAATATGTCGTGTGTATGTTTGGTGTAAAATAAGCGTGTATCCGTATCTCCACCTATTTTTGAATATTTACACAGATAAGTCGAATCTGATGTCTGTGGTTTTTAAGTATTTTTTATATATAAGCATATATGTGGCCTACATAGGTTACTAATAAAACTAACGGTTGATTTAATTTACATTTTGTGATTTAAAATGCATATAAACATATTGCGTTTAAAATTAATCTTGATAGTGATGAATGGCATGAAACCAGGTTATTAGGTATGTTGAAAAGCCGTATATTTTTGCTTGCAACGAAATTATTAAATTGATTGCTCAGAGAGAAATAAATTGTTGTTTAAAATCCCGATCCTGCTATATTTCCTCTTACAAAAGATTAAGTCTTCTAAATGCATTTCCAAGCTAACAAGCCTTATAAAATCCTGTATTTGGTCTCAAATCAGTTTTCACTGATGACTACACCTTGCGAAAGTGCTAGCTTGTTGTTAGTATGAAAATATCAGCCATAAAATGCAGACCCCGAACCAGCCTCTTCACGCGAAATCCCTGCAACAAAAAAGTTGTTGTTGTCAGCTCTGGCCTTTGGAGGTGCGGAGCGGCTGCACGCGCGAGCCGGGGCTCGGTCCCAAGCAGGAACCGAGCCTGTGGGTAATTGCTGCTAAAGACAAATGTGGAGGCAACTGACAGAGCTGGATCGAAGAGAGCTTTTGTTGGCTGTCCGTGCTAAGAGGAGAGACAACATAGAGTGCTCGCAGATGATTTAAGTAGGCTTGGCGTGATAAGGTTATCTGAAGCTGCAAGAGTTGATAGGGCAGTAGCAGACAACCTAGAGCGAAGCGGTGCAATCAATTAAATCTGTGTAATATATGCTGCATGAGGAAACCCCCCAGCCCTAAGTTTATATTACCAAATAACATGATTTTTTTGGGGTGGGGGGGTTTCTAACACAGTAGGTTACAGTCGCAACACAAGCAGTGTTTCCCCGCGAGGATACGTTCCGAGCAGTACTCCTCAGCAGTCCAATTACAACACAGTCAGCAATAGCATGAATGGATATGGCAATGCCGGCATGCCCAATCTAGGTGTACCAGGTTCCCCTGGATTTCTTAATGGCTCCTCAGCTAACTCTCCTTATGGCAGTAAGTGTCTATTTTTGGTAACACATCATCATGTAGATTCATATTTACTACGAAATCAAGTACTTGCATTGTGTTGATTTGCTATCTTGTGAGCTACTGGATAAAAGGAGGGGTGACTCTGGAGGCTGGACGTAAAAACGAATATGATAAATTGATCTGTTTGTGCCATAATATGATCTCAGATAGAGAAAAAATTGGACTGCGCAATTCGTAACAAAAGTCCAACACAAAAGAGTTTGCCTGTTATCCAGAGAGTGGCCAAGCCAAGGCATTTCATTTTTTTTTTTAATATATATATATATATATATATAAAATATATATATTTTAAGAGGCAAGGCCCTATCACTCTCTTTCTCCGTGTTTGCCGTGCAACCCTCAATCTGAGTCCTGATTATTTTTGCTTTATTGCAGTAGTGCCGTCAAGCCCTACCATGGCAGCCTCTTCGGTCACCCTCCCTTCAAACTGTAGCAGTACACACGGCATTTTCTCATTCTCACCTGCCAATGTCATCTCTGCAGTGAAACAAAAGAGCGCCTTCGCTCCCGTTGTCAGGCCCCAAGCCTCTCCTCCACCGTCTTGCACCAGTGCAAATGGAAACGGACTTCAAGGTGAGCCGCGTCTCTCTCCATTCCCCACGCGCTGCTTCGCGGGGCATACGCTAAAGCCGGGACTAGCTATTTGGGAGAAAGGTACCTGGCCCTAGCGTTAGGTTTCCGGGGCTCTCAGTGGTGTCATAATGATGCAAAATGCGGTAGTGCAAACAAAGGGCTGAAATTTTAAGCAAATCCTAGTTCACTTCTAATGCTTCCGTTAGAGAAAACACTAGCTTGCTTTTTTTTTTTTTTTAATTATTATTTTATTATTTATTTTTCCCTGCCATTATCAAACATGAAATTTTCAAGCAAGCATGTCTCCTGGAATGCTTCTTGGAGATTTTTTTATACTCTTTGCATTTCTTTATACATTTTTGGATATGTTTTGTAGACTTTTAAAGCAGCTATATTCCAGCATAATGTGGTGTGATTTCTTCATTTTACATATGCTGCAATAGTTATTTTAAAATATGTCAAATAACGTCATGAATCAGACGAAGCTCTTACTCAGTGAGCTAACCTTGGAGTAACTAGCCATTTGTGCACTGAGTTTTAATGCTCCATTGTAGCATTAAAGTTGTTGCTTCCCTATGTGAATAGCTAAATATTTTAATTAAGGCAGGCGATTCCAAGCTTTTGCTTTTTTTGTTTTTTAACCTGTGTGATTTTATATGGGCAGTGTAAGGGGCCATTTATAAATCATCTGCAGAGTTTACCCGGTCAGCCGCTGGCAGTGGGGCGGACAGAATTACGATGCAGAGTAACTTTCGTGGAGGAATAAAAATAAGCAAAAAGTCTTACTTTTTATGGCATATTTTAAAATTTGAATGATAATGCTGACAGATTCATTAGAATCATTCATCGGGTTTGCTTGGCTGCATTTTACAAACCATGCGCCTAGTTCTGCAGCGCAGTGAATGGAAGTGCTTTGGATCCCATGGGAATCAGGAAGGGCTGCAGACCCCCTTACCTCCGAACATGTACATTTTGCAGCTAAGATGCGAGTATTGCAGTATTATTTCTTCTTTTATTGCAAGGATAGCCATAATATGATAGGCACTCCCAGATAAACAGATGAAGACTGATATTTTGATGTTTTGATGCTTGCTAGTTCTGGATACCCGCGTTTTGTGGCATGTAGCTTAAGGCACTTGAGAGAGCCGTAATCCCCCAGGACTACCTGTCTGCCAAAAATCCAGACCATTTGGGGCCACTGTCTCAAAACTGGAAATCCCTTTGGTTTTTTATTAACTCCTGAGTATCTTGGTCCAAAGAACCTGGCATCTGAGAACTTGTTCTGCAATCAGGTCAATGAAGGGCTGAGGAGCCAGCTACATAAATATCGTTGTAGGATGGATGATTTTTCTTTTATAAAAAAAGGGAATAATTAGATTAATACTTCAGGTTACTGCATACGTGGTTTTAGTTGAAGCTTTGCTGTGCTACAGTAAGTAAAAAACTGCACCATGTGTAAGCGATATTCTTAGAAAAAGTCATCCCTTCATCCACTCATAAAATAATCCAGTGTTTTTTTATTAAAAAAACTATCGTAAGAATTAAATACTGATATAAAATAAAATGTAAATTTGAAGAAGCTATTCTATAGTAGGACTTACATATATATGCTCATTAACATTTTGCTATTGCTTTACTTTGAAAAAAAAAAAGAAATTATTGGAAGATCTAAAGTAAAATGATCTGAATTTCTGTAATTACATTATGTAAATAAAGGGCTTCCCATCAGATTTTCAAGGTTTCAGGTGCTTAAAAGATCTAGATTAATGCAAAGTAGGATTTTCAGAAGAATCTGAGCCAGCTAAATGCCCGGGTCCCTGCAGACCTCAGGTGCCTGATTTCCTTTGGCCCTTCCAAAATAAAATCAACGTGAACACATCTTAACCATCAGGTACTAAATGTTTTTCCTGTAAATAGCCGGTGCTTTGCACCCACCAATTCCCACTTTGCTAAGCAGGTTGGGAAGCTGGTTCTAAAACTGAGGCCTAACACTGCTCTGGACTAAACTTTCTCTGGACTTGGATAGTCCCATGAAGGTCTAAGTACTCCCTAAAACCCCTCCGGAGGTGCTGCAATCCAAGCCCTGACCCGGGGCCATCCGTGAGGAATTCCCTCCTGCAGGTGCTGCCAAAAGTCCAAGGATTTCTGTGTTCCGTGTCACGGAGACCTTAACCATTGCATTGCAGGGCTGTCCCTACCAGCGTGGGCCTTCGGAGCTGCTCAGGCTGGAAGGTGTTTGTGGTTACGGCCCTGCAGATGCTCCGGTTACTGGTTCAGGAGCCAAAGAGAAAATGAATAGAAGTGTTGATGTGAGAAAAGGAGAGGTGTTTCCCTCGCCCAACTGAAACAGCTAAACTGGATCCTTTTGTGCTGAACAAAATGACCTAGGGAAAATAGCACGGATGTCTCTCTAGTCTGATAATTAGAACACCAAGTCCCAGGTTTGTGACAAAAAGTTGAATAATTTATGCGTAGTACAACTGCACCGAAAGGGGAAACCGCACATTTCCTCCGCCTGTAGTACCACGTATCGTGATAGTTAGGGTGCTCTAATGGAAGGTAAAATATGTGGGTTTGAGTCCCCTTGGGCTGAGGAGAAAATCAAATTGCATCTGACATATCCTTGGTGAGCTCCCTAATCACCCGAGTAGAGAGGGCCCATCATTTCTTTCTCTCCAACCAAAGCTATTCAGTTAATTCAAACTGAACTCATGAAAGGTTTCAGGATGACAACATTTCACCCAGCTGTCCTTACAGATCTAAACCGGTACCTTGAACCGAGTTGCAGCCAGGAGTGAGTGGCAGGACAGGCGTTCTCTGGAATGAAAATGTCATAGACTTCCCTCATGAAGCATCACAAAGTAAAGCCAGCAATGCAAGAGCTACCTATTTATGCTGCATTTGACCTGTGTAATTATTTGAGGGATTTCTGCTTCATTCTTCTTTTTTCCCTTAGTCATTTGTTGACATTGAGCCCATTTTAAAGTTTAATTAGCCTCTTTATGAACACTGTACAATCACCTTGAGACTTTTCTGATCAGCACTTTTTATACATTAAAATAAAATATGGTATTTGGGGGCTACAGTCCAATGCAGCTACAGTTTTCCGGTGATCTTCAAGTACAGAGCCTCTATTTTATAGCTGGGGGTGAAAGAGTTGAGTAACAGCTAAGAAAACGTGCGCCCATTAGGAAAGGTCACAGCTATTTAGTCAAGTGAAGATAGAAGTCAGACCCCGTCACCACTATTGCTCTGAAGTTTTTTGGGGAGGGAGGTTAACCCTTTGGTTTATGGGCCTCAATAGACACGGTTTATTGTTAGCAGACAGGGTCTTCTAATCACAGAGAAAGGTTTCAGCTCTGTCACTGCCTGTTGCGTTGCCCTGTGCAAGCTCTGTTGGGAAACAGACCCCAGGTGGCCGTTTTCCACCCCATTTCAGGGGAGCGGATGGACCGCACTATTTATTGCGAGCAATCCAAAGGGAACAAAGGGAATCCAAAGGGAACCTCCCCACGCAGGTGGGACAGGGGAGAGCGTGGCCAAACCCGCGTGTCCCTCCACACCAGGGCAGTCTTTCTTGAGGAGCTTTGGGCAGCGTTTTGGCAGCTCTCGCTAGGTAGGTCAGGTATAGGATGTGTCTGTGTGCATAGGGAAAGAGAAGCCGTTCTTGGCACGCTGGAGATGGGGGTGAAGCAGGAACAGGGCTGTGAGCAGAGCTCCCCTCTCCGCTGTCTGCGGCTCTCAGCCGGGCTGCTTTGTGTCCGGTGGGATACGGAGCACATGGAGCTGTAGTTTGGCAGCGTCACACTAAGCGAGCACTGTCTGAGCACAGCACACTGAAACATGGCCTTCCAGGCCCCCAACATACTGTATTTTAGGACTTACTGCTACGCAGAGAGGTCTACCCAGCAAAGGAATCCCTTTTTGTTTCTGAAGCAATGCAGATTTTAAGGAGGGAGGAAGCAGCACCAAAGCGACGAGGCGCGAGCGCAGTGTCACGCAGGCAGCCGCCGCAGAGCTACCATGCGCTTGGTGTCCTTGGTGTCACGCTCATGCTCCCTTGCCCTTTGCGTTGCACGTGCATGTGTCCCACGCCAGCGCCCGTCATCCGCAGGGCCCGTCGCTCGCGGCGGGACACGGCCCCGTCCCTGCGCTGCCGCACGCGGGATCGCCCCTCGGAGCAGGGCGACAAAGCCGGGCTTTACCCAGCTCAACGCAACATCTCGTTGGCTTTGCCTGACTGCCATTAGACGGCCTGTGATCAGACACTTAACTACTTACATATTTAACAGCAGGGCGCTAGAGTATGGGTTCATCAGGGCAGACAGCTTTTCCCTGTGTAAAGCAATGCATATTTAAGGTATCGAGTATATTTTTTAGCAAGAACGTCCCGGCTTGCTGTAAGGTTAGAAGTGCAGTATGTGTTTAAAATTCAGTTTTCGATTGTAATTTATTTTTATAGACGGTGAAAGATATTGCACTCTGGTCAAGCTTTATGATTGTAATGCAGAGCAAAAGGTTCTCTGTATTCTTTTAAAGTTGCAGTCTGCTTAATTTTCTGGTCTCTCCCCAGATGAAACTATTAAAAATATTATTAAAAAACTAGCCACCCTATTTTTCTTTAAGAAGGCATTTGGTATCAATTTGCGCAGCGAGAAATGTAGTGGTGGAATTGTGCAGAAGTTCGCGACTGTCAAGCATTGCTACTAAAATAAATACTGAAATAAATGTATAGAGCACCAATTTTGCTTTTTCCCCTATTGTGCAACAGATGCAATTCACAAATTTAAAAAAAAAAATGGCTTAAATTAAGAAATTCAGATTTTTTTTCCAGAAAAGTTACGCAGTGGACGACCCAAATTGTCCCACCTCGTAAGCCAATCATGAGATTGCAATGACCCTGCGATTAAGTCCAGCCTATTCCTACCACCAACCACGTGCTACGAATTAAAACCGCTTTGCGCACACGGCTCCTGGAAAAAAAATCTGGACGTTGTATCTGCTAGATGATTCTTGGAAGCACCGAGTGAGCTAGTCTGTCCTGACCAGTCCTGCTCTTTCGTACTTTGCTTAGAGTGCTGGCAGAGCACGCTCCTGTCTGCTTGCCGCCAACCTCCGAGACATAGCCTCTGTGTCTCAGCATCATCTGGATACAGACCAAGATGACGGACCCTTACTGATCTGAACTCAAAAGAGTAGGCGGGTACTGTACTTTGGGCTCACCTGTGGGGATGCCGATGCTGATCTCCAGAGCGCTTGGTGGTTGTGTCGCAGCATAGCAGCACCCCAGCACACGCTGCGCCCCGGGGGCTTGGCAGGGGGCCCTGCAGGGCGCGTTTGGAAGCGGCCCCAGCCCGGGGGGCGCCCCGGGGACGCTCCCCTCGGGGACGTGCCGGTCCCTCGGGGTCCCGGGGACGGTCCCCGCGCTGCCCCGCACAGCCCCCGCGCGGGGGTGGGGGGGGGCCGCGGCCGCCGGCCCCGCTGTCGCCCCCCAAGCGGCCGGGGGTCCCCGGAAGGGGCTGAGCGGGGCTCCGCGAGCCCCCGCGCCGGGCGAGCGCCCCGAGGGCGCCGGCGGCTCCCGCCGCGAGGGGCTTCGCTGGGAAGTGGAACCTCTGCCCAGGCCGGCACGCTCCGCGCCTGCGGCTGGGGCAGGAGCGCAAGCCCGGGCCCGTGGGGCGCTGTGAGAGCCTCCCGCGGGCCGTGCGGTGGCCACGAGGCGCCAGGGGCCCCGCGCGGGCCGCCCCGCGCCCCCGGGCCGCCCGAAGCGCGGCGCCGCAGCGGCGCATCCCCCGCAAATTAACGCGGTGCAAATTAATGAACTGGGAAATTGAAGCTCACATCGCTACACGGACAAATTTATTAATATCTGTTGTACATAAGTTAATGAGAAACATCATTACGGCAAAAATTAAACAACGCTAAAATTAGAGGCGGTCTAAATTATCTTTCCAGCAAGGAGTTACCTAGCGAGAGGCGCAGAAGGTTTCGGCATCTCGGTGTTCTAAGTGTGCAAACGAGACAGGAAGGGGCAGGCGGGGAGGGGCGTTAGTCTCCGGCCTTGCCGTGCTCAGGCCCTCGGCTTCGCTCCCGGCACCGCCATTCCCGTCGGGAGAGGGGTCGGCCGCGGGTCCGTGCGGGGCGCCCGCCGCGGGCCCCGCTCACCTCGCGCCTCTCTCTCTGCTTCTCTTGCAGCCATGTCCGGGCTCGTGGTGCCGCCCATGTAAAGTCACCCCCGTTTCCCCCCCCCCCCCCGTGCCGCGGCGCCCCCGGGCCCCGCGCGACGCCCGCCCACGGCCACGGCGGCGCCCCCAGAATCCGCAGCCCACCGCCGTGCTCCGAGAAAGACTCTGTTTAAAGATTTTATTTAAACTATTAAGAAGCTACATGCCGACCGACCTACTTCTTCATGAACAATTCCATTTTATTGACTGAATTTTTTCTCATGTTTTCACATTTCTCAGTCCTGGAGAATAAGGAGAAAGCGACGCCTATTTTGTATAAAGTTTCTGATTACGTCTTGGCTATGTCTAGTACTTGCTATGTGTTGGGAGAAACTTTGTGGATGCACCGTTTTGGTTATCATGAAACACTGAGGAAAAATGCCTCCGAACATTTTTCTGTACTCATAACTAGATTCACAATGGTTGTGTATCTCTATAATGTGAAATATTTTTTTGTGGTGGAAAAAAAAAAAAAAAGGGGGCCAAGGAGGTTATGAGCCATCAAACTGGAAAAAAAAATTAAAAAAAAAAAAAGGATGAATATATGATTAGAAAATTGGGGCGCGGGGGAGGGCGCGGGAGGGTTTATCATTGCTTAACTTCATCTTAATGAAATGGAACTTTGTAACTTATTGTAGTTAGAAAATGTAACTTTGATATTGAATTCTCTTGCCTTCAACAAGCACACTGACAGAGAAAAAAAAATTGCTACTGTCTGTTGGTTAAAAAAGAAAAAAATATACTTCCACTGCTAGAGCTTCCTGTTAAGCAAGTGTGATCTGCAACATTTTTTCAACTTTTGCTAGCACTGTATACTATTGCATTCTTAGGCTACTGTGAAGTCTATGTTTCTTGTACCAGAAAATTGTCCTTTTGACTTCTAGATCCTTCTTCCCTAATGTGTTTTGTATGTGGTTATAAAATTGTAGACTTTTGTGATTTTGCCAAAGTTGTAGCTAAATATTTATACACTTGTCTTGAATTTTTTTCAGATCCACTTAAATATTTAGAAAAGCAAATTTTATTCCTTATGAAGTTTATAAGGAATAAAATAGTCTTACTCATCGCAACACTTTCTTTCACGTAAACACTTGCAGTCACTAAGGGAATTTATTTTGTAACATATCAACTATAAATATTGTATTTATCTTTGAAATTTTGTATATTGCTTTTCATCATTTTTTTTTTCTTGTATGTATTGGTTTTCGTCATGGCCTGGTATTGTGATGCTGAGAATAGCATTAAGCCAAGAACAGTTGCCTTCATGTTTTCCTTTTGAATAAATCCGTGTCCGTACATTTCATTTGTACTCCATAAAGTTGCTATTATTTAGGCTTTCCATCCTTTTTTTTTTATTACTTTTGAGGAAAAGTCAAATTCATTGTTTATTTTTATATTATTTTTAAGTTATCAGAACAAATAATTTTGAAAAAGAAGTTGTTTGTTGTATAGTCAAATCAAAATTGTGCCACATGGCTGTAATGAATACTAGTAGAATATGTGCATGTGATACAGCCGCAACAGAGATGAGTCTGTTTTGTGGTTGGGCTCCTTTCTTTCTCTCTTTCTTTGTTCTTTTTCCCTTTCTCTCTTTCTTTGTTTCTTTCTTTTTTTCCTTCCTTCTTCCTTTTTTCCCCCTTCTTTCTGTTTTTTTTTTCTTTTTTTTTTAAGATTGTAAAAAGTCATTTTTAGCTGCCACCCATGACTTTGCCACATAGCTGAACTGTGTTTACTGGAAAAATTCAGAGGCCTAAAGTTTAAAATAAAATTCACTTCTGATGTTTTAATTAAAATGTTTGCCACATTAACTTCTCTGATGCCTTAAAAGTGAACTTCTTTGAGGACCTTTTGTGCTGTTTTATCACAGGCTTACACCACAGTTGTCAACCACGACTTCATTTGGGTGATTCCTGGTGTAAAAACAAGCAAACAAACAAACAAAAAAGCACAAACCTGGTGTATAATTATATCACTCCTTTATGTGTCTGCTTTCTGCTGCACTCTGCATATTCCTGCACTGTTTAAAAAAGATAATGGTTTCACGTGAAATCAGGATCATACACAGACTTTAAATGTCTGGGGTTTGTTTTTTTAGGTTTCTTGGTTTTTTTAATGGAACTTTTTGTAATAGACCCATAGATGACTGTACTTTTTAAACTGGAATGACCTCCTTAGCGTCTCGTGGCTCGTAGTGCCAAATCCATAGGAAGAAATGTTGAGTTTTTTTTTTTTTTTTCCTTTACTTTGCACTAGATAGTTTGCAAATGCAGCACTGCAAAAACGTTTTGCAAACTGCAGCAGAATTCAAGTTGCAACCAAAAAGGAGGGATCAAATTTTTTTTTTTTTTTCTTTCTGGGCAAAATGCACATTTTAGTAAAGCGTTGATTAAAGGGTTTTAACGAATGATACCATGTATCACAGGTGATAAATGTCTCGCACATTTATTTTGTGATAACCGTCAAGGCTTAGCTAAGTGGAAAAGCCTGAGAAGTCACTTTGGAACTGAATTGCCTCAGTTGCATTTTGTCGGAGTAAGGTTTTGCTCTACGCAGAGGTCACGTGTACATGTTAAGAAAGTTTGCAAGTTTCTTCATAACTGCAATCTGTTTGTGTTTTAGATTACTTAGTCAATGCACTCATCGCTTCATCGTCTCCAAACTGAAAGCTTCACTAAATGGTAGATTTTACTGTTAAAGACCCTACAATAAGATTGTTTTATCTGTACATTTTTTCATATATTTAACTGTATAAAAAAATGTTCATTTTACACAATATTTAATTAAAGTATTTCTTGTCTGTGAATTTCATTTTTAGTAATTTTATCTGGTTTGATTATTAAAAACTCTGACAAAACACCAAACCAAAAGCGCCGCCGCGGGGGTTTCATTTCCGAGAGCCGGAGCTGGTCCCGAATCCTGCGGGAGAGGGTTAGGATGCTGAACCTGGACCTGGGGCCCTGTCCCCGAGGCGCGGAGCTGGGACAGGGCCAGCGCGTGGCTGCTGCGGGAGGGAAGAGGGTTCTTGGGGTTTTATTCCACCATTGCCAGCTGCAAGAGGCCATTGCAAAATCCCGAGCTCAGCGGCAGCCCTACATTCATGTCTATTTGTGTGTGTGTATATGCACACAATCAAATCGGATTTATCCTGCCTAATTCTCAGCAGGTAGTGGGAGTCAAGGGATGGAGCGTGGTAACAACCACAGCTTTCCTCATTTACAGTTTCCAAAGAAGGGAAAACAGCCCGGTTAACTACATTTATTTTCTGCTCCAGTATTTCCACACTTTTTACGTTTGATGGCATTAAAAATCCAAAGGACTTGTGATTGCTATTATTTTGCATTGGGAATCGCTTTGCTCTGAGGATGTGTCTGTGTCACGGTTAGATAGAAGCCTCCTCAGTTTCAGCTGAAGCTGAGCGGGTTTATAGGGATGCAGGTCCGCACGATGCCTACGGGCATTATTCCTTTTGGGTGGATTTCAAGGGTTTGAATAACGAGGATCTGAATGGTTCAGCTAACATCCTATGCAAAGAAAAWACTAAAAAAAAAAAGGAAAAAAAAAAAAGAAAAAGGAGGAAAAAAGCACATTTGGGGCCCTGACAAGTCCCAGTGCAGGGTATGACACATCCGTACCTGCATCCTGGAACTAGGGTGCTGCTCTCGGAAACCCAAGGATAAAAATCCCTCTATCAAAACGCGGGGCTGGAGTCTCTAAAAGTATACGCCAATTATTGCAGGGCAGCTTTTTAAAGTCTTTCAAGCTTTTAAAGATTATTCAAAGCACTTGAAATAGGCTTCAATCTAATGCCTCATTTCATTGCATTAAACAGCCTAGTTAATAAAGAATCAATATATTCAAAGGGCAAGGTTATCTTTTGTCTATAAGGGGTGGTGTCATTCTGAACCTTTTATAGTTCAAATGCTGAAAAAGACCTCATGAAATCCATACTCATCAAGTGGGTCAACCGGAGCAATAAAG